TGAAGGGCAGTGGCGAGCGGAGGATGAATGGTGGATATAGGAATGGATACCGCTCACACTTAAATCTTCCGCAGTAAGTTTAAGTAAAATCATGTATATGTATATATGATTCAAAGGTTTCAAGCATGTATGTTTGAAAAGTATATGTACATATGTATGTTAAGAAAACTGAGGTTGTAGCTAACAACCTTAGTCTTGAGTATTTAAGTTTTAGAACGTTGCAACAGTGCATGCAACAAATAAACGAATTTTAAACATGACGATTTAAATGATTGATTTTGAAAAGACATTAAGAAGTACTTGAATTTAAGATTTCTCACGAAATCCATTTTAAAGTCAAATCAGATGGTCCGATTGAATTGACTAATTTTAGAAAGGCTTTTAAAGAGTATTTGAAACAAAAGTTCAAATGCCGCTCAGTTTGAAAGATATTTCTATAAGGTTTTATCTTAGTTGAAATTAAGAAAAGCTTTAAGAAATTTAGTGATTCATTTTTTTGAAATTATTGTTACGATTTATGAAATTATTCCTTCTTATATTTAAAAAAAAAATTTATTCCGCAAAATTTAAGAAATTCCAGCAAGTACAAGTTAATTTCATCTTCAGTGACAGCCACCTAGGAAGGTCATCACAGTTCTTCTACGAAGATTGTCACCGTCGCTCAGAGCAGCACCAAGGTCGTGGACGGGAGCTTTGTGGAGGACGGTGTTGGATCGAAGACGAAGAATCTGAGATTTGAAAGGGCCACTGAGGTTAATTTTGGATTCTAGGGGCTTGTTCATTTGCACGTAAACTCAAAAAAAGTTTGAACTCAAGTTATAACTTTATTCAAGTTCATGATCTTCTGTAAAATTTGAGTTTAAACTTGAATTTGGGGCTAAAATCTGAGTTCAAGTTCCCCCTTCAAGTCAAGTTCCTCAACTCAAACTCAAGTTAATGAAGAATATTTTTTTTTTCTATTATTAAAAACGCCATAACTTTTTCGTTTTAATTCCGATTGAAATGATTTTTTTTTTCTATGCTTTCACAACAAAGAGACGAGTAAAATCCCACCATACTATTAAAATTTTTCATCACCATTGAGTTTTTATTAAAATACTATCCAAATACAAATTTAAGTTTTGACCCACCCAAACACATCTAAACACAAACTCAAATTAGAGTCTCAGCTCAAACTATATTCAAATACACCTTAACTCAAATCAAGATCTGAGTTTAAGTCACACTAAAAATGCAAATGAACAAGCCCTAAATATTTTGGCTCTAATTTACATGTTAATGAGTTTGTGATTTTGGGATTGTTGTTTCAAGAATTGAATTTGTTATTCACAGCATAGTAGTTTGGATTTTTGTAAACTTGAGAAATGATTTTTTTCCTGCTAATGATGATAACAGATTTACTTACTGGCGAGTAACTACTGGATTTACCAATAAATCTAAGATTTTTTTTGATAAATTTAGGATTTTATTATTGGTTGGTATTATGTATTTACTTGTAAATATTTATTGGTCGTCGATGACTAGGTTTCGAGTAAATATAATATTTATGAGTAAATATGGTATTATTTATAAATATTGTATTTAATGGTCGCCGGAGTTGGTGGTCAAATGTTTGGATAGATTTTGGTATTTATGAGTAAATATAGTGTTTACTGGTAAATACAGTATTTATCAGTATATACGGTATTTACTGGTTGCAGATGTCAGCCGTCAGTGAATACAATATATATTGGTAAATATGATATTTATTAGCCAATACGGTATATACCGGTAGTCGACTGCCATTTAACGGCCTATCACCGATAAATACAATATTTACTTTTAAATATGATATTTACCAGCATATATGATAAATATGGTATTTACGAGTATATACGATAAATACAAGTATATACAGTAAATACAAGTTGACGGCCGCCGACCATGGTAGACTTGACTAGAGTGGGGAAATATAGAGGTGGGAAGGAGAGGGTTTAAGGGTATTTTGGGGTTTTTAATAATGTTTGAAGCTTAAGATATTAAATTGTGTATAAACTTCGAGTGTGCTCATTTCACAACTCAAGTTATGACTTAAGTTGTGTATGCGAGAGAAAAACATTGTAGCAAAAAAGTTAAATTTGAATTTCTGTGAGAGAAAACACTATTACAATAAAACTTGAGTTGTGAAATGAACAAAGCCTCTATGTTTTAAAAAATTATGCTATAATTTACTAATCACACTACTAATTGTGCCATTTCACTCATTCTTTCTTTATAAGGGTTATTGGCACAAATGGTCCCCAACCTATTTAGTAAGTGATCCCTTAACTTGGGGTATATGTGTAAAAATACATCCTTCGTTGATTTGAGGGTGATTTATATGACAGAAGAAGAGAATTTGGGGTTGAAATTGGGAGTAACTGTTATGTAATTGAGAGTCTAAATTAAAATTTAGGCAATCACATAAAGGACCAAATTACCTAGCATGCCTTTACCATCTTCCCATGTTGAATCAACGTAAACCAGAAAAAAGTGAAAAACTCACGATGGAAGAGAAAAGAGAGCCGCTGTCGATTTCGGTCACCTCCGGCCAACCTACCATGAATTGAAACCGGACCCAGAGAGCCTATGAGCCGATCTACAAAATCCCGCTCACCTCACCGCCCGATTCGCCGCCGATCGGTCAGAATTTTAGTTTGAAATTTCTGGCCACAACACCTTCCAATGCAGATTCTGGCGCCGTCCAACGTCTAATCCTCCGACAAGAGGAGTCTTTAGACTCCTCTCGTCGAGCTGAACAAATCCATACCAAGTTTGTCGTCATTGGTCGCTGGAATAGTTCCGACTATCTTCGGTTAGATTTTTGACAATTTCGTCTTTGGTCACTGGAAGAGTTCAAACGGGTAATTTCATCTTTCCACCAACAATCTGGGTCACATAGGTAATCACGTGAGCTTCTCTCGTTAACTTTTAGACGGATCTTGACGGAAAGGACTAGATTGTACCTGTTTTAAACGTTGGAGGTCGATTTGCCAAATAAAACATTTATGATTAAACTATCACTTACTAAATAAATCAGAAATCATTTGTGCCAATAACTCTTCTTTATAATTGGTGTCCCTAACATTATTTTTTTAGGAAAAAAAACATGTGGCCAGACGTCAGTAAAATATCATATCATGTCCTTTTGAGTTTGGAGTTTTGACCTTGAGAGAAATTTTACTTGCAAGGCAAGCTGCACAATTTCATCAGATTCTCTCTCTCCCAAGCCCCACTCAAAAGTCTCATCAACGTTCTCTACAATGTTTTGCAGGACATAATGGGCGCATTTAGAATTAATTTTAAAATGATTTTATTTTCAATAAAAAGTAAAAATGAGATTGTTTTGAGAATAATTTTGAGACCGATTCTGAAATTGCGTTTGATTGATTTTTTTAAGAGATTATTTTAAGTATAATAAAAAAGTAAAATCGTGTTTATTAATTAATATATTATAATATTATTTATAAGTACTAAAAAATGAAAATAGAAAAGTGAAAACAACTTTCAACTGTTTTCTAATTCATTCACAAAAATCATTTTCATTGTTTTCATTTTTAAAATATTTATTAAACAAATATCGTTTCATTTTTATTTTCATTTCTTAATTCTTGAAATATGTAAAAATCATTTTAAAAAACGGTTTCAAATACGCACAAAACGACAGCATACCTGCAATCTAAACCGTTAATCAGGTTGACTTTCCAATGCGCCCCGCAATCTAAACCGTTAATCAGGTTGACTTTCCAATGCGCGTGAAAAGTTTGTATTTTCTGTGAGCCAACCACAGAAAGAAACATAAGTCTAATCCTTTCCAACAATTAGCTGTCCACATTAATGCATTCACGAAACCCCAAAGCCAAGGACCCTTTTCTTTTTAATTGAACTACTTTATTTTTTATTTTTAGTCTTTTTACATGAACTTCTCTCCCATAAATATATTTGTCAAATAAAAGTAAGTAAATAAATAAGGATATTTTTATTTTTATGACTCAAATTATATTATTATAGTGTTTTTTTCATAAAAATTTAAATTCAATTTTTTTATTATAATATTTTTTTTACATATATAACTCAAATTATAACTCAAATCATATAAAAAAATAAGTTATAAATAACTTTACCCCCTCAATTTTTTTCCGTGTATATCATTATCTTCAAATATGCGATATTCTAATTTTTAAAGCATATTTATCTTAACATTATCAAAACCAGGTTATATTCCTATGTCATTTTTACCTTATCTCCTCATTGTCTCAACTCTCTCATCAAATTAGATTAAATTAAAACAAAAGAAAAAACTAAACTAAAATAGTTTTACCATTTGTACCCTAATTGTGTCTTTTAGTTTCTTTGTCTATTAAAATCTTTTTATATTACAAATTTTGGCCATTTAACTTGGTACATATTTTTAGAATTGTCATTTATCACATAACTAACTCAATGGTTACATATTTTTTCCTTTAAAAAGAAACATAATTACCAATTTTGAAAGTCAATCAGCTGCCTTCAGAGCTCAACTTTTTTTTTATAAAAAAAAATTGTTAATATTAATTGCTTGAATTAGGGATGAAATTGAAAAGACTTTTTTAACTGTTTGACAACAATGAGACTTGAGAAAGACAAAAACGTGTAGAGGAAGTTGGGAAGTTGGTTTTTGGTTCAACTACGAAAAAGCCAAAGTTTTACTTCACAGAAAAAAAAAAAAAAAAAAGAAAAGAAAAAAAATCCAAAATTCCAAACTTTGAAAGTAATTTTCTATTTTCAATAAATAAAAAAAATAAAAGATATGTATAGAGGGGAGAAATAGATAGAGACGTAAGCAAGGTATTCTTCTCTTGCGTTTTATTATTATTATTTTCTTTTGAAGGGCGTTTTATTATTATTATTTCCCATTTTCGCCCCAAAACTTTGAAAATCCTTCCTCACAAAACCAAACCGAAAAAGAAAAGGAAAAAAAGAAAAAAAGAAACTTCCTCCATTATCCAATCTCTCTCTCTCTCTCTCTCTCTAAACTTTCTCTCTCCTTAGATCTCCCTCCCTACCTGGTTCTCCAGCGATTTTTTGATTTATTTGTTGTAAAAATTGATTTGGATTAGCGAAGCAAAGCTAGTTCTGTAAAATCGACAAAAGAATTTTTGATTATTTTTTTTTGATTCTGTGTGATTTCGAACCAGAAAATTTTCGAAATTTCACCGTTTTGAAGGTTTGATTTTGTTTGTTTTTGTCGTCTGCGATTTTGTATTTTGGATTCTTCTGCTGTTTTGAGAAGGTTATGGAGAAATTTGAAACCTAGAAACTGCGATTGTGAGGCTGTTTCTTCTTCTACGCGTAATTTTTTCATTTGGGGGATTCGATAAAGAAACAGCCTGGGGGTTATGATTAAGCCTTGTTCATCGCCTTCGTCGAATTTCGAAGAGCTTTTGGTTTTTCTCGCTTTCGATTTCTTCTTCTTCTGGAGATGAGGAGTGATGGCGGTTCCAAGCATCATCAGGGTGGCGTTCCTCGCCCTGGTCGGACCAACGGCTTCATCCCCAGCTCCTTTCGCGCAATTTCCAGCTACTTACGGATCGTTTCCTCTGGCGCCTCCACCGTCGCGCGGTCCGCGGCGTCGGTGGCTTCCTCGATTGTCGAGAGGGATGACGACGCTAGCCAGGATCAGGTACGAGGTCCATAATTCGTTTTGTGTTTTTGTTTTTGTTTAGATGTTGTGGAAAGTTTTGAGACAATTGGAGAATTTTGGGTTTTTAGCTGTTTCCGGTATGGAAATTGTTTGTTATTTGAGAGTAGAATGCTGAGGACAGCGAAGATGTTTGTGATCAGATTCAAATATGGCAGAAGTTACCGTCTTTTTGGAAAGTTGGTGTAATTTTATTACACATGGAAAGCTTTGGGGGACTTTTGAATTAAAAGTTAGTGAAAGTACTTAGTGAATGATGGAGTTTGTTTAAGGAAAGTTTTATTTGGACTGAAGGTGAAATAATCAGTGAGGATAGAAATTTTGCGTGGCGTTTGATTGGAAAAACGTTTCATGGGTTTATTATAGTTGCCCATTTTTTCTATTGGGATTTTTCAATTTTTGTTTCTGATTTGTTTGTCGACAGAAGAACTTAGAAAATGGTTTGGACGCAGACCTGTTTTGTATGAAGTTGAAGGTTGTTCTCAGCTAGTGTTCTGTGACAAGTTTTCGGTCTTTTAATCTGGGCTAGTGGGAATGTATTAGTGAGCAGGAGAAGCTGCAGTTTCAACTGACAACTGATAATTAAGGTTGAAGTTGTTATGCAAGCATGCCTCAGTTTTCTTGCAACATTCGATTACTTGCCGGCCCAATTATTGTGAGGAACGTTGCAATTTTTGTAGACACGCTAGGTTTAACCCAAATTTTCTAGGTGTTCTGAAATCTGATAAAGGTGGATGCATAGTTTGGGATACTGCTCTCCAATATATTATTGGTGGTTGGTGTCGTGCTATTGGAACTTTCCCCCAGTCTTAAGGTTGCAAATGCGGGAGCTTTCAGTTGTTGGTTGGTTCTAGTGACGGCAATCAATTTATGTTTTGATTTGATTGGCACATCCTACATTTATTAGCTGTATCATTCAGTCTATCAAGCTGTTTGCGAGGTTTGATGCTCTGCACTAGATTATGTTGGCTGGATATAGTTCAGAAAATAGGAGCGTCCCATCTCCCCTTCCTCAACATCAAAGATAAATGAAAAGCAAAGAACCGTCTTGTTTCCGTAGATTGCAATGTTAAGTTACTCTTGATACTTATGCTGTAGTTTGCCAACCAGGCTGCTTGTACCTGATAATTAGAGAACACCTGCATTTGGAGTGTTTGTAATCTGTATAGGGCTGGTTCTCGACATTTCACATAACTCTCATTTTCCTTGTTGACTATCAGACTATAGATTCTGTTATATAGCTCATTTCTCATGACGTTATTGGTATCCAGTGAAGTGCTGAAAAAATATAATGAATAGGGCATGTACTTGTTAGCTGTGAAAGCCGATTTCTGCGTAAAGTAGAAAAATATATGGTGAAGGCATGTACTAAGGAATAACAATCAAATTGACATGGAAGGAGATTTTGCTTGTGACTTGGACGCTACAGGATTTATGGACAATGGTCAACAGTTTGTTTTTGGTTGTATTGTATAATGTTTACTGGTACTTAAATAGTAAAAGCATTGCTGATGCACTTTTCCTTTTACTCAGGATAAATATGGAAAGTGCAATCATAACTTAACTGGTGTACTTTCATTGATTTGTGTTAAATTGTCCATTTTGCTGCTGCCTTCTTTTTCTTTCTAAGCTTCTTACTTTTTCTCATTTGACATATAAAGGTAAACTGGGCTGGGTTTGACAAGTTGGAGGGTAAGGAAGGTATCACTCGTCGAGTACTCCTGCTAGGTTACCGGTCTGGTTTCCAGGTTTGGGATGTTGAAGAGGCGGACAATGTCCGAGGCCTAGTTTCTAGACATGGTGGTCCTGTTTCATTTATGCAAATGTTACCTAAACTAATAGCCTCGAAGAGTTCAGAAGACAAGTTTGCAGACACCAGGCCTTTACTGGTAGTTTGTGCTGATGGGAACCTTTCTGTAGGTAACAACATGCAGGATGGGGTACCCACTCCACATAATGCTGCCATTCCTAATGGCCATGACTCAAGGAATGGAGGTTTTGTACCAACTGCTGTCTTCTTTTATTCCTTGCGGACGCAATCTTATGTCTACAATATAAAGTTCAGATCAGTTGTTTATTGTGTAAGGTGCAGTCCCCGGGTTGTTGCCATCTCTTTAGCAACTCAGGTATGCTTTCATGTTCTTATGTAATACCGTCTATATTACTACTGCTTAGGCAAGGCTTAAGAATCTGGTCTTATGTTTTGCAGATACACTGTATTAATGCTACAACATTAGAGAGGGATTATACCATTCTTACAAATCCGATAGTTACAGGGTGCCCAACTTCTGGAGGTATAAGCTGTGGACCTCTTGCAGTGGGCCCCAGATGGCTAGCATACAGTGGATCTCCGGTTGTAGTCTCCAATTCTGGGCGTGTGAGTCCACAGCATATGACATCTTCAGCAAGTTTTTCCGGCTTTCCTTCTAACGGGAGCCTGGTTGCACACTATGCAAAAGAATCAAGCAAGCAAATTGCAGCCGGAATTGTGACCCTGGGAGACATGGGATATAAGAAGCTGTCCAGGTATTGCTCTGAGCTTTTGCCAGACAGCAATAATTCTCATCAATTAGGGAGTCCTAGCTGGAAAGGCAATGGAACTGTTAATGGCCATTTGGCAGAAGCAGATAGTGTTGGAGTGGTATGCATCTATCGTTTCTATTTTATTTTCACTTGTAGCTGTAATGTACTAATGTCATCAAACAAATTGTGCTATTGCATTTCATATTTGACTGATATAATCATTTCTCTGATTCATTTTATATCTTCTGGGTAGCAAGCTTGCTTGCGCTATTCTCACGATATCAAATTATTCATGTAGGGAATGGATACCATCCATATTCTTTTTATGTTTAGCTTCTCGCAGTTTTTTAATATGCTTATTTCGTCATTATTATTTTAACATGCTTATTTACATGTTACTTTTTCTTTTTCTTTTATTTTAATTTTTTAATTTTAATTTTGCCTGTTTATTTATTTTTATTTTTTATTCAGGTAATTGTCAAAGATATTGTCAGTAAAGCTGTTATTGCTCAGTTCAGGGCGCACAAGAGTTCTATTTCAGCATTATCTTTTGATCCAAGTGGTACCCTTTTAGTTACTGCTTCCGTTCAGGGCCATAACATTAATGTTTTTAAAATAATGCCTGGCTTTGCTGGAAGTTCCTCTGCATCTGATACAGGTTCATCGTGTATTCATCTTTACAGGCTGCAACGGGGTTTTACAAATGCGGTAATTGAAGAATCTTGTGTATTTCTTTCTTGATTGTCTTGCTGTTTTAAACAAGCAGTTGTCTGATATATATATATATATATATATATAATTTTTTTTTTCAGGTCATACAGGACATAAGTTTCAGTGATGACAGCAACTGGATAATGATTAGTTCCTCTAGGGGGACGAACCATCTGTTTGCCCTAAATCCTCTGGGAGGGTCAGTAATTTTACCCGCTGTGGATACTGGGAAGAATAATGGATTGGTTGCTACAACTAAGTCAGCAATTCATTGGCTGCCAAATTCAAATCTACAATTGCCTAATCAGCAGAGCCTTTGTGCAGCTGGTGTCCCTGTTACTCTCTCTGCTGTTAGTCGAATAAAGAACGGAAATAATAGTTGGAGAGGAACGGTAACTGGTGCTGCGGCTGCTGCAGCTGGCAGAGTGACTTCCCTTTCAGGGGCTGTAGCTTCATCTTTCCATAACTGCAAAGGCAAGGCTTCAAATCTGGATTGTAGCCCCTCAAAGGCCAAGTACCACCTTTTGGTGTTTTCTCCTTCTGGTTGCATGATACAATATGCTTTACGAATATCAACAAGTCTGGATACAGTAACTGCTGTGTCTGGGTTAAACGCTGCTTATGAATCTGGTCAGGAGTGTGACGCACGGTTGCTGGTCGAGGCTATCCAGAAATGGAATATATGCCAGAAACAAAATAGGAGAGAAAGAGAAGATAATATGGATATATATGGTGACAATGGAAGTTCAGACAGCAATAAGATATACCCTGAGGGGGCTAAGAAAGGAAATTCCATTAAGGGTCCAGGTACAAAAGAAAAGATCACTCCTGAGGAAAATCATCATTTGTATATAGCAGAAGCTGAATTGCACATGCATGAACCTCGGAATCCAGTATGGGCCAGACCTGGGGTATATCTTTTTGGCTCTGAAATTGTATTATGTCATACATGTACATATCTCTTCTCTTCCATGTCATTTGACGTGCTCTTTGTCTTCAATTTTTTACTAGATATGTTTTCAGTCAATGGTGATGGAAGGTGTGAACATGGATCGAGACATTGCTTCAGGCGGGGAAGTCGAGATTGAAAGAATTCCTACTCGTACAATTGAAGCCAGGTCAAAAGACTTGGTTCCAGTTTTTGACTATGTCCAGACTACCAAGTACCAAAAAACAAGGTATGGAGTTTCTTGTATTCTTTTTGGTTGATATTTTGGGTGTTCTATCCCTGGCACGGAACATATTTGCATACTTTGTTCTTGCTTAGCATTGCCTCGCTTGAGAGCAGCTGCTGTATATAGCTATTTCGTGAATAACCAATTTCATGGAGCTTTTGAGTCCCTCAATTGTTTATTAATGATTTCATCTTTGCTTTGTTTCTACTGCTTCTTGCACTCTTACATTCAATACAAAATAGTTAAGCCTGTACATGCATGTATACAATATATCTTCTCGTCTTTTTGCAGGAATCATGCTTTGGATAACAGTATCAATGGGAGATTCCTGCATCAGAGGTCTGGAGTGTTTGAAAACGGCAGGATTTCATGCAAAAGCAGTTCTGGATCTCTCGACTCCTTGACTGACTGTGGTGCTGCATCGACAGATCTTTACAATGGCGTTGACAAAATGAGGCGTTATGGCCTGGAGACGCCAGCAGATACCATGCATTTTGTAAATACCTATGACAGCTCCAAAACAACGACTCAGCTTGAGACTGTAAATGATAGAGAGAGCTTAAGAAAGGAGCCTCAACTCAAGTTTGTAAATAATAACATAGAAGGCCTGAAAATGGAGAATCATTTTGAAGATGAGGACGAGATTGATTAGAGGTAATATTTTGCCTATTTAAGCTGTTTGTTTAACATAAGTAGGATTACTCATCAGCGTTCCCTATTTAATGACCACTCTTGTAGGAACTCTGGTAAGACTTATTACAGTTTTGGAATTCATTACTCTTTGTTTGGATTAATCTCATTTTTAGTCCTGGGACTATTGGCCAAATTCTATTTTGGTCTATGACTTTTAAATCATTCTAGACTGACTTCTTGATCTACCAAGTTGTCCCAAATTAGTCGGAGCACAAAAAAAAAAAAAAAAAGTCCCAGACTCCCAAATTAGTCCTTCCATCAATACAACTGTTAAAATCTCGACAGGAAGAAGGCGTGTATGGACCGTTTGTTGTTTACTGAGGGTTAATTTTGTAGTTTTACTTGTTATGGCATAGTTGCTATGAAAACTGTGCTTTTTTTCCATCAAGATTTTAACCTTCAAATGGATTGAAGGACTAATTTTGGACAACTTTGTAAATCTGTAACTCGTCCTTGGACGTTTTAAAAGTCACGGGACTAAAAATGAGATTAGCCCCTTTTTGTTTAGTAGCATTTCTTGGTCTTTTCAGTTTTCTTTTTAGAGCTTAAACCAATGCTCTTTTTGCCCTTTGCTGCTTTCTGAGTTATTCTTGTTCCTTCTCAGGTGTGTGCAGATATTCTTTTATTCTCCGCGAAGGTTAATTAACAGTGTTAATACTATGGGTGAATTTTAGAGAAGCCATAGGAGGCTGGACTGTGTTGCGGAAATTGTGGATAGTGAATACTATGTTGTTGGGTTTCATCTACTGTTGACCTTGTAAATAAATGGCTCTATAAATTTCTAATAATCAGATATAACTTGTAAATAATAGCATCAAATTTACAACTCTTGTCTCTTCATGATCTGTTAATTAAATTTATTCTGCTTCCTTCTCTGCGCAAAAATTTGTCCTATATTTCCCCTGTTGAGTTTTATTTATTTATTTAATTGTTATTTTTTTTTATTATTATTTTGTGAGAAACATAGGCGTGTTGGTAAAAAGTGGCTCATTAAAAAGTCCCTTTCTGGCTGGAGAGAATGGGTGGGACATAGTGAAGTTACTAGGCATTTAGGCTTCTTGTACTATCTTCCTTTTTTTTTTTTTTTTTTTTTTTTTTTTTTTTTTTTTTTAAGAAAAATTGAAAATGATTAATTTCATTTGTGTTTTTTTCATGTAAGGTTGAACGGATTGCAGAACAAGCAAGTGAAAAAACGTTCGTAATCCGTCGAAAAACAACATCAGACAGATGATCTCTTTTTGGGTGTTTCTCGGGACTTTTTTTACCGGTAGAGTCAGTTGCTGATCATATTTTTTTCCTCTTTTTTAGAAATGCCATTGGGTTTGAAATTTTTAACTCCGTTTATTTTATCAATTTGAGTTTAAAATTTAAGTTTTATTATAATAAAAATTTTTTAAAAACAGTTACATATAATTTTGTTATTATAATAAAATACTCATATAAAGTCACATTTTAATTTAAATTAACGTATTAAACGCCCTTTGTTTGTAAAGTCTACTGACAAATGGTAAAAGTCAATCCTCAGGTCATCTACTGGCTTCCTAGAAATAGCACTGCGAACAAGCCGTTACGAGATGGATTGGAATAATTCAAAGCCCGTTCTCATCGATTTGAGTTTAAAATTTAAGTTTTATTATAGTAAAAAATTTTCAGAAACAGTTACATTTAATTTTTTTACTACAGTAAAATTTTTTTATAAAAAATCACATCTCAACTCAAATTAAAAACTCGAATCATTGAACTAAAGGCTTTCATTTTTTCTATTGGGTCAACTTTGTATTAGTTTGACTCGACTACTTTCTTCTTTTTTGTGTGCGTGTGTGTGTGTGTGTGTGTGTGTGTGGGTGGATGGGACAAACAGAAGACGGTGGCATCAGGAAACTCCGGTCCCTTTAATTCATTGGACTATTTACAACAATCAACGCAGTAAAAAGGAAAAAAAAGAAATAAAAAAGTTTTCCACTAGTATATTTCTCTATTATATCATTCTTTTTTTTTTTTTTTTTTCTTTTCATCAGAACCAGTGAATACTTGCATTTACGTTCCTTCTAAGCTTTTCGCCATGGAAGTTTTGACTTCGATCTTGGGGGGAATAGTTGCTGAAACCGGAAAATCATTATGCGGATCCATACGCTCCAACATCAAGAACACTGTCTGGTGGAAGTTGAGCTTCCGTGACTTGGAAAAGGAGATGAGAAATCTGATGGATGTTATGGCTGAAATCAAGAATCAATTAGAGTCAGCTGAGAAAGATGGAAGATCGCCTAAAAACAAAGTCAAAGAGTGGCTTAGAGAAGTGGAAGACTTAGTGCTCAAGGTGGAATCAATTCAAGCAAGGATACCGGGCACCGAAAAGAAGCTCTGTGGTTGTCTCTTGAGATGCAATGGAAGGTTTAGATATGGCAGGAAAGTGGCAAGAGCGCGCAAGAACGCAGACAATCTGATAAAAGCCGGTAAGTTTCCTGATGGAGTAGTTTCTGTCAAATGTCTAGAAGAACAAGTTGAGTACATTCCTGGACCTACAATACTAGAAGGTCAAACAACTGCATCAAGGACTCTAGATGAGCTGGTGAAGATATTGGATGTCGAAAAGTTCCGAAGAATCGGTGTTTGGGGCATGGGAGGAGTCGGGAAGACTACCTTGGTGAAGAACTTAAACAACAAGCTCAAGAGCAATATTTGTTTAAAACAGCCTTTTAGCATTGTGATATGGGCAACAGTGTCCAAGGAGTTGGACATGAGGAGGGTACAGATACAAATAGCTGAGAGGCTGAATTTGGAGGTGAAAAGGGAAGAAAGCATTGAGAGAATAGCTCGGAGATTGTATCAACGGCTTGAGAGGGAGGAAAGGTTTCTTCTCATACTAGATGATGTGTGGGAGAAGATTGACTTCGATTGCTTGGGGGTTCCGCATCCTGAGCATCAGAAAGGTTCGAAGATCATACTAACATCTCGATTTTTGGAAGTCTGTAGGGCGATGATGACGGATACTGAAGTCAAAGTGAACATCCTCAAAGATGAAGAGACTTGGCAATTGTTTGGTCGATATGCAGGAGAGGTAGCGAGTTTAGAGCAGATTGAACCGTTTGCGAAAGCGGTGGCTAGAGAATGTTGTGGGTTGCCTTTGGCTATCATCACGGTGGGAGCTGCAATGAGGGGAAAGGCCATGATAAAGTTGTGGAAACATGCCTTGAACGAGCTGCGAAGATCAGTTCCTTGTGTAGGAGGCATAAAGAATCAGGTCTACAACCCATTGAAGTGGAGTTATGACTCGTTAGAAGGTAATAACACCAAGGCTTGTTTCTTATATTGTGCTTTGTATCCTGAGGATTTCTGTATTGAAGTAAGTGAACTAGTAAAGTGTTGGCTCGCGGAAGGTTTGATAGATGATAAACATGATTTTGAGAATTCGATGAATAAAGCAATAGCTGTAATTGAAATTCTGAAAGACTCTTGCCTTTTGGAGGATGGTGATCATGAGGGCACGGTGAAGATGCATGATGTGGTTCGAGATGTTGCCATATGGATTGCATCATCACTGGAGGATGAATTTAAGTCGCTTGTTCGGTCAGGAATTGGCTTGAGTGAGATTTCAGAGGTAGAGATATTGGATTCTTTCACAAGAGTCTCTTTCATGACTAACAAAATAAACAAGCTACCTGATTGTGAGGGGCTTTTCTCTAAGGCCTCAACCTTACTACTTCAAGGGAACCTTCCACTTGAAAGAGTTCCTGAGCAGTTCCTGCAAGGATTCCATGCGCTAAGGGTCTTAAATTTGAGTGGAACTCGCATTCGATCATTGCCGGTTTCTCTTCTTCATCTCCATGATCTTCGAGCTCTCCTACTTCGGGATTGCTTCTTTCTCGAAGAATTACCTCCTCTAGGAACGCTTAACAAACTTCAGACGCTTGATCTGTGCGCCACTCGTATTAGTGAACTACCTGAAGAGATGGAAAAGTTAATCAACTTAAGGCAAGTAAACCTATCTCGAACTCACTATCTAAAAAAAATTCAAGCTGGAATTGTGTCCAAATGGACTTGTTTGGAGCTTCTAGATATGACTCTCAGCAGTTACCATTGGGGTACCAAGGGTGAGGTTGAAGAGGGGCAAGCCACTTTCGAAGAGCTTGGATGCCTCAAGAGGCTATTCTCATTGTCCATTAGGTTGAAGAGCATCCCATGTCTAGGCTCTGAGGATCTTACATGGATAGGAAGATTAAGAAGATTTCAATTCTTTATCGGCACAACAGCGAATTCCTTGCCTACTAGACATGACAAGAGAAGGGTGACGATTAGCGGGCTTAATCTTTCAGGAGAATGGATTCAATGGTGGTTGTCGAACGCGAGTTCTCTGGTCTTGAATGGTTGTTGGGGACTGAATGAAATGTTTCAGGACTTGGCCATATATGGTGCTGAGAACTACGCTGAAATGAGCAGTGTTGGTAGTTTCATGGATCCAAAATCACTAACCAATGCTGATTTGAAGAGTCTTGGTAGTTTCATGGCTCTAAAATCACTAACCATCACAAGTTCCAACAGCAGTTTACAGCCAGGAGGAGGATGTGCTGCCCCTTATGACTTGCTACCAAATCTCGAGGAACTTCATCTCCATGGCCTAACTTATCTTGCGAGCATTTCGGAGTTAGTTGGCCATCTGGGTCTTTTGTTTTCGAAGCTAAAGTTGATCGAGGTCGTCAGATGTCCACGAATGAAATGTCTCCTTTCTTGTGGGATCTTCATCTTAAGCCTGCCTAACCTGGAAACAATCAAGGTGGGCTTCTGTGAAAAGTTGGAGGAGCTGTTTAATTACACTTCGAACCATACATCGGGTGTAGATCCTGTTGTTCCAAACCTGAGAACACTCGAATTGAAAAACCTTCCTAAGCTAAAAATTCTATGTAGACCAAGAGAGTCATGGCCAAGTCTAGAGCAGATTTATGTGGTCAAGTGCAATCTACTCAGAAAGCTACCTGTTGATATCCGAAATGCGAATACCATTAAGGAAATAAGAGGAGAACCGCAATGGTGGAGCGGTTTGAAATGGGATAGTCTCACTGCAGAGTCAGCATTGCAGCCCTATTTCAAGGATGTTGGGGCTAAAAAGATATAATTCATAGTCCTAATAGTGCTTGCAGATTAACCCCTTGGTCTAAACTTGATATTATAACTTGTAGTACCAATAGTAAATTCTTTATGATTTGTTAGTTTTATCTTAGTCAAAATTTACATGGCTTTAGTTTAATGGAGAGTTGGAACTATGGGAATATGGTTGCTTCTTTTGTCACTCGTCTAAACTTTTAGCATAGAAAGATGGAAACAAGAGAGACCGAGACAAAGAGAATAGAATTTATAACACATACAAAAGTAGGTGCATCTTTGAGGCTACGGAATTCAAATATTTATATTAGTTAAAAGAATGAGATTATCACATTTAAAATTGAAAATTGTTTATGATTTATATTACTTAACAAAAATTCGAAGGGTAGTTTTATTGGCACACGCCGCTTCTTTACACGCACCTAGTTTAATTTTGAAATGATTAATACCCCGTTCATTTCACCGATTCGTGTTTAAAATTCGAGTTTTACTACAGTAAAAAGTTCTTAGAAACAATTACATCTAACTTTTTTACTACAGTAAAAAACTATCACATATAGTCACATCTCAACTCGAATTAAAAACTCGAATCAGCGAAATAAATTCATTTATTTCACATTCCTATTAACTCCAAAATAACCCTTTTAACTATTTTAATAAGATTGTTACTTCTCTACCATTTAAATATCTTTTGACACCCACCCTTTTCATTTTTGTTTTCTCTGATATTGTTAAAGCTTTAGACGTGAATGTTGACGCTACTATTTGTTGGACTCCTACTGATCATAATAAATATAAGCAAAATAGTTAAAAAGTTATTGATACTGGCCGTGTGGTATTAGCTAAAATGTTTGACCGCGTTTTCTCTATGAAGAAGCGAAAGCAATGACATTGCGTTTAAGTTTATGTTGGGCTTTAGACGTTGGATTGGTTATTCATTTTGTAGAGTCAGATGCAAAAACAATCATTCGAGCTCTTAACAGAAAAAAAAAAAAAATGGCTGTAATGAGTTTGGAATATTGTTAGCTGATGTATCAGCGAGTTTGTAAGTATTTTTTCCACTGCATCACTTAAATAGTAGTACGTTTTTATTAAAAATTTTCAATTTATATATGTAGATATTTATATGCTTTCATGAGATTTTAAAAGTGTTTTATACTGTGAAATCTTGTGCTTATTATAAATTAACTGAGATAGTGATAATAGCCGAATCCTAGAGGAATAAGAGATTCCAAAATAAGAACATGAAAAGGGTTTTAATAACACAAGTCTAACATTGTACAAGAAGGGCCAAAAATATTAAAGTAAATTATTTTGAAAATGAAAATTAATTTATAGTTTACTTATTGAGTTGTCGCTCATATAGTTTCCGTGATACAGATAAGCTCTATAGTTCTAATTAACTGAGTAAGAATGGTCTAAAGTCTGGTTTGAGGATTATTTCTGCAGTAGATATTATTTTTCTATTATGTGGTTGTATTATTTTATATTTAAGTTAATGTTTCTTTCTAGTCAACCGTGTTTTTAACTTTTAACTTAAGAGGGGCGCTACAAAAGTGTTAATAACTATATCGAAATCTTATGACATTTGTCCATGTGTGTATGCAATATATTATACGAATTATGATATAAACAAAAACGCAACACCTTTATTGATCAAGATAATGTAATAAAATAGATACATACAAATATGCAGCTTTCTAGACACTTATCCAAACATTATTTTTGAAGGTCCTTTTGAATCTGCAGTGCAAAATAAAATTTACCAAATGCCCTAATCTATTGTAGATTCTTTAAAAGTCTCCAAAAGCAACAAAACAAGTGCCATATATTACAATAATAATTATGTAATTGGATTAATTTGACAGCCCCACAAACAATAAAGAAGGGAACATAGCGGAAGTCCTAGTGAATAATCACCAGACGATAAAAGGGGCACGGACAAAAATGTGTTGGATAACAACTAAAAAAAATGACAGGAAAAGTTGGAGAACAATAATTGGTTTTCTTGTATATCAAATGATTTACAAAAAAATATGAAATATAATTAAAAATAATATATATTCTAGTAATCAATAATTACGACTGTAAGAATTTTCTCTAGTAGTCCTTATAAAAATAAACTACCAGTAGTCTTTTATTTTAAAACTGTTAAATTTGTGTTAAAATCTATCTGTTTTACATTTTTTCTCAATCTAATGTGATTTTGATCATATCCAACAGATAAAAATCAGGATTATCGATAGGACGGACTATACCGAAGAAACTCTGATGTAATTATAATAAAAAATAATCAATTGATTTTTTAATAAATATTCAAATTTTTTACTAAAAGAATCGTCAGCAATATACCTTTTAGATATGTTGGAAAATGACCTTTTATTCTTTTTTTGAAAAAAAAAAAATAAAGATAAGATATGTCATAGACAAGAAAAATAATACTAGTAAGATTTGCTTGATTATGCTCGAGTGTTGTTTTGTCTTTTGCTAATTTGTTTTCTTATATGTATTGATATTTCTTTTCTTTCCATATAGTATCTTATTAATTCGAAACAAAATTAGTGTGTCCACGTAGTTGGTAGAGAATTGCTCCATCAAAATTAGCAAATGGAAGTGGCGAAAGAGCCACAAGATTTGGAGGCTATGAAGGAATCCTTGAGATCAGAGAAGCAAATCTTGGCAATATATGTTACGTACGAAATAGATATATGGCTCGCTATGAGACGTTAATTTGTTTCATCTTGTATGAAATCATCAGACTTTAATACGTTAATTTGCTTAAATTTTTAAACACATCAGATTTTTAATAGTCCCACATTGAAAAAAGATGAGAATATATTCTCTCAACTATTCTATATAAATGGCTACGTATTTCATTTCTTCATCACAACTTACAAGTTAGAGAGATTTAACTTCTTTTAAACGTTAATCTTCAATAATATGATGGACTTATATTTACCATCTACAAGATTAGAGGTTAAAATATATGGATAATAACTTTTTTTTTAAAAGTTGGTCGGTCGGTACGGTTTAACTGATCACTTCGGCTGGCAAAACTGAAACTGAACCGCCCATGAACCATGGACGGTCGGTTAACCGACTGAATTAGTTAGTTTGCTGATGTGGAACCGAGTTTTCAGCTTTTTTCGATCGGTTTGGCGGTTCGGTGTCGGTCAGTTTTAATTTTTCACTTTTTTTGAACACTCCTAAGCCATAGATCTCATATATATCATTATTAAAAAGAGGCCCGCAACGGGTCTGGGGCCGGACGTGCTGTGCCGGCCCGACACGTCACGTTTGACAACTTTAAATTAAAGCTCACTATTATGAGTATAAGCAAAACGAGCTAGTGCGTCGGCTGCTCCATTAGAAAAAAGAATTCATTGTTAAATTCTAAATAGCTCTAATAGTTCGTAGTACAGAGAATAATCTTTTTGGAGGGACAAAATTGTTGAGCAACATAAGTGGGATGATATTGGCTTAGTTTGGTATTGCTTTATCCTTTCAAAATGAGCTTCTCTTTGTAGCAGAAGCTCATTTTAGTGTTTGATAAATCTCCTCAAAAGTGCTTTTTGAAGAATTTATCAAGAATCTACAACCAAAATCAGAAGCAGCCTAAAGATAACTTTCATAATACCCATAATACCCCTAATGAAATTTAAAATTTACAATCTTCTCAATCTAAAATTCAGACTCGTAACATAATATAATAGTAATATTGTAACAAATAATATCATAATTATATTAATGACTCTAAGATTATTATATTATCATACAATATTATATTATAATAATATTATAATTATTTTAATAACATGATATTATAATTATAATATGATATTGTAATTATTATTTTATAATAT